AATCTTTGCTACGTCACTTCAGGCGGCGGGCGCCCGACTTAGGCGTTCGTCCATTTTTTTCGAAAATTTTAGGGGTTTTAGAGAGATAAACATTTTTTTTGTTTTGAACGGTAAATAGCACTTTTTAAACCGTAAAGAGCATTTTCTTTTTTTAATCATCAAAGTACTGAAATACCCCTCATCAAATAAAATATAATTTATACAAGGGACTTGATATTCGTGGTACCACTTTTATGAATACGGATTTGTAATAGTTCACTATCTACCTCTCTTTCTCTCTCTAGAAAAAAATTCTCTCAAGTTTTTATATTATAAATAGTCCCGAAATTCATTTTATTGTAGTGATTTACAAAAGAAAATGAGTGCATCGGATGAGGATCAAGATACAAAATCCAATGAGGTAAAGTTTATTCATTTTTGTTCTATAAATCGGGAAAACGTGGCTCACGACCAAAACGAGCGCGGAAAATTGATTTAGACGCCCAAACTGGCCGCGGAAAAGGCTGATCCACACCCAAAGCGGATGCACGGTTGGCCTTTCTGCGCCCGATTTGGGCGCCGACAAGTTCTGCATTTTTTTCTTTTTACTACTAATTTTGTTACTACTTTTTAACTTTATTTTGTTTGTAATTATTTCGGGAAGAACAACAAAATTCTTCTACATTTGAAGTTCATCATAGTGAGCATTTTGTAGTAAAGGAACTATTTAACTCGAAGAATGAGTTGATAGATTGGGCGAGAGCTACCGCCCAGAATCTTGGTGTAAAGTTGGTGAAGCGTAGTAGTCCTAAGAATAGAGTATATCTTACTTGTGATCTATTTGGGGCGAAGTGAGTAACTTCAACGGACATAGATGTGGAAAATAAGAGATGGACTAGCACAAAGAAATGTCGTTGTAAATTCTGTTGGTGAGAGCTGAACACTACAAGGATATAGATGGGAACTTAGAATATTATATGAGAAGCATAATCATGATCCCGTATATTTGTGGGGGCATGACTCTACGAAAATGACTAAAGATGAGGTGGACATTACTGGCAAAAAGTCATGTGCCGCCAAAGAAGATTTTAGTACATTTGAAAGAGAACAACTTGGCACAGGATGTGCATTTGAGACAAGTATACAATGAAAAGGAAAAAAATGAAAAAGTAGGCTAGGGGTGGACATACAATTATGCAGCATTTGGTTGGGTTGCTTGAGGAGCATAAC